ATTACTTTATCTATTCTCAATATAATCAACATCACTCCTTTGCTCTTTGCAAAAAGCACCAAACAGAACAATTTATTGTAACTGCACTGAGAGAAAAAGTCTCTCTGGCCTCTAGCTGTTCGAAACAGCTGAATCAGTAAAGAGATATTCAGAGTAATTTTTCCTCAGGACACTCACTGCTTGCTTTCACTTCAGACGACACTTTTGTGATGTCCCTCTATTCCTTCAGGAGATCTAGGAGGCAGTGATGTCGTCTCCTTCTTCACATGAATCTCCTTGCTTAGAACATTTTTCAGTGCCTGCTTTCATGAAGGGTAATGTGACTGAGAGGTGCAGCGATAGGTAAAACTCAGTATGTCAACTAAATAGAAACTTTTCTTTTGAAGATTCATAGGATAGGAGACATGTCCAGGGAGATTCTGAAGGATTCCTATTTTGTTCCTCTGCCTTTCAACTGATTTCTACGGAAACGCTTTCTGTTCTGTGTGCAAGTGAACTTCACTTTTTCTGCTCTTTTGTTCTCCAAGGAATGACACTGAGACCAGATCGCCCCTCTTCTTTACCTGACACTTCTCAGAGCAGAGCCCGAATCAAACAGATCCACATCCCCGTCGTCATCCCTCCACCGTCCTCGGGCTCCAACCAGCCTACACAGGGCAACAAACACGCGATCAGGATCAGCAAGCCAAACCAGCCGCTGAATCCCCAGCATCCCCGCTTGCCGACGCTGCCTCTGGTTCCTGTAAGGCCTGTGGTGGAAACGGGAGAGGCCGGACCCCCGGGATACATCCGACGACTCAATGTGCGCAGAGGAGCCGAGGACTCATTGAGCAAACCCGTCCAAGGGTTTGCTGGAGCGCCAGGTGAGCTCTGCTGGGGTTAAAGTTAGGCTTATTGTGACAGTACTGTCCTTGTTTTTGTTTGTTTGTTTTTCAATGATCACCTGACCATTTCAGGCTGAAGCTTAGATGGTTTGAACACAATCTATCAGTGCCACAGTTTGGTCAAATAAATATCAGGTGAATTGTTAGGAATATATTTTGCACCACCCAGCTGTTTTATCACATTAAGCAGTCAGCACACCGAGGTGAGTGAATCTTTGTTGTGTAGACAGAGGGTCTGCATGAAGCAGCATGAGGCAGCATCATAATCCTGCAATGAATACAAGTTAAAATGTTTCCTTTTAGGTTAGAATGATCAAGGCGTATTCACAAAGTTGCAACCACCCTGATACACCTTACCAACCACCAAACTCACCCGTAATAAAATAAGATGCTGCTTCTGTAGTCACTGATTAGTGGTTTCTGCTTGGCTCATGTCATTGCATGTGAAAAGGTGAGTTGAACAATCCGTTTTACTTTCTGGATTGTTTTAAACACACAAAGTACCAATAAGTCATATTTTCACACGTCAGTAGAAATCTAAATATTGGCATAAACATATTACATTTTTCTAAATCATCACACCATGTCACCATTTGTCAAGTATTGTTGCTTTTTGTTTGACTTCATAAAGAGTGGCGACTAATCTTAAATGTTCTGTTTGATCTCCTCTGTCAGTACATCTGGTAATATGAATGCTTGTATTATATGTAGGGTAAAGAAGGTATATACAAGATCAGGCACGTTTTTTTTAGATTATAGTTTTTTTTAAGTTTTAGGTAGGAAAAAGGTGGATAGGAAAAAAAATCTAAATCTAGCACAAGTGTACATGATTAAAAACCTACCAAATAATAAGTAAAAACCTCTGTTGAATTTGATCTTCTACTCCATCCACAGGCTTTACTCCCGAGTTCAGAGTTACATCGGGTTTGTTTATTTCTTCCGGGCCTGACATGCATAACACATAAAAGGCTTTAGCTGTATAAATTTGCATTAGATGTTCTGTCATCCCCATTAATTGTTCTTACCACTTGCCCAGGGCATGTCAGTGCAGGCCAAATCCAATAAAATAGCAAACAACAAAAGGAAACAGACTTGGTTCTGAAGTTAATTAAATGCATTGCATGGACGAAGTTTAAATAACAAAGAAAAAAAAAAGGCTCTGTTCTCACCTTTATCTTGTTTGGCAGTAAAGAGTAGAGAACAGCCTACATCAGTTATAATTGTACTTTATTGTGTGGGAGATCAAGTCATGTACTGCCAGTGAGCTTCAGAACCTTAACCCAAGAGACAAAACTTATTTTCAGAAATGACATTTCTTGTGTTTCACTTGTAGTTTTGTTTATTTGGGGGCGGCGGGGATTGTTCTTCTAGATTACACAGAGTTACTCTCCAGCATGTTTAAAATAATAAAACATCCAAATTCTTTTTTTTTTTTTTTAGATAAAACTCACCAGGATTAGAAACTCAGCAAACTTTAGACATTACATATATGTTTTAATTTTGATTAACATTTTTTTTCCTAACTTCACCCCACAGGTTAGAAAACATAGACAACTGCTAAACACTGATTATCAAAAGTCTGAAACAGAGAATCCAAAGATTAGAATATTTGACATGTTTCCATACCTCTTTAACGTTTTCACATTTTGTTACAATACAGCCACACACTTTGCTAGTTTTTATTGGAAACTGACATGCAGTTTTAGCCATTTATCTTTGCAAATAGCTCAAGCTCAGTCAGACTGGATGTGTATCGTCTGTGAACATAAAGCTTTAAGATTGTTGATTGGGCAATCTAACTCTTGACTAGACTCTTATCTACACCATTTCACTGTAGCTTTTTTTTTCTGGATTGCCCTGTGTCTGGTAGTTAATCTTCAGCATAGTTCCATCTTTATATGAACTCTTGCAATTTTCCACATGATGGAAGCAAGTGTAATGTCGCCACTGCCCTACTCCACAGTGAAGGTTTTGTATTCAGGATCATGTGCAGTGGTAGTTTGTTGTCACACAGTTTTCTGCATTACACTGAGACTCATTTTTAACTTTATTTGAATTATTTTTAATTGGTTTGTGATGTAAAACCCAGATGAAATAGCATCAAGGTCCAAAATTGTAAAGTGACAAAATATGAAATATTTGCAAGTGTTGTGAATGCTGTTTTACTTTTTCTACCGTCTCTGGTATGATATTTAGACATACAACCAAACTACTTCTGGCAGAAGCACCCCTAACTCATCTCTGTCTTCAGTTGGTGATAAAACATAATGTGTTTGTCATCTGTCTCCTCCAGGCTATCCTCCTCTGCAGTCTACGCCTTCCAAGCCTGAGCCAACCAGCCAACGAGGTACGATAGCTGTTACAGTGCATGCATCTGCAGCTTTTCTTTTACATCAGAGCAAAAATGAAAAAAAAAAAAAAAGAAAAAAAAAAGCTGGAACAAAGCTGTGAATAATTTGTAGCCTGGACGTGCGAGGGAGTGGGAACTGGATGTGTTATTCTCAAGAAGGTGTGGGCAGATTGTGAAGGGTTTTAAGTCGTCTGCAGGCGCCCGCTACAAAGTTTTAAACTGGCTCTGATAACTGGTTTTATTTAAATTATTACTGCAGATCATTCTCAGCTTGCTGTGCAATTGAACTTTACACATTGATGTCGAAGGGAGAAGAAATATAAATAAAACATCAGTGAAAGTAAAGATGCCCGTTTTCAAGTTTTTGGCACTTAGGATAACATTTTGACCACAATGTTTTACTTTGTAGCTACAGTAACACCAAAGGCGCCTCTGAGCCCGTTGAATCCACGTGTGTCAGAATCGCCAGGTAATCTTTCCTCAAACTACCTTCCTATTTAAAAAAAAAAAAAAAAAACATAAAAAATTGTGGCATTTGTTTTCAGAGTTTAATATCGATCCCTGATATTGGGACTTGTTGTAAGTTTATGATCAGATTTATGTAGCAACATGTAAGCCCTGTGTCACTCTTCCTGATCTAGATTCAGTGAACAGGAGCGTCTCTGCAGACCAGTTCTCCTTCTCTGCCGGCCTCACACAGAGCCCAACCTTCATTGGAAATGCTGCCGTCATTCGCTTTAACAAGGTGCTAGTCAACGATGGAGGACACTACAACCCCCACACAGGTACAAACCCACGTTCACTTTCACCTCAGGATTCTTGGTTGTTCATAAATCAAATTCTTGTAAAATGTCCAAAAGAAAAACTATCACCACGTCTTCATTGTCTCGGAAAAGTCTCGATGCCTCTTGGACATTTTCTAACTTTGTCATGTTGCAACAACTTCAAAGATCTTTTATTTGCCAGTACCGGCACAAAGACATCTTAGAAAGCAAAAGACAATGCTCAGGCCAAAAGAAATTGAGGAACAGAGGAACTAATTCATTGGCGTCTGCTGGTTACGACAGGGTTGCAAGGCTTTTGCTAACATTTTGGGACTCCAGACGACCACAGCGAGAGCCATTATCCCCGAACTTAGGTGAACCTTCTCAGAAATGTCCGCCCTACCCAGGTTACTCCAAGAACAAATCAGTGACTCATCCAACGGGTCAAAAGAAACCCCAGAACAACATGTAAAAATCTGCAGACCTCATGATTCCACAATGAGAGACAAAAACTCTTTATGTATTCTATTCTAATCCCAGCCAACTCAAAACAGGAACAATGTATCCTGTTTTAGTGTCAAACAATGACACAGAAGGTTAGTTTGTCTTTTTTTTTTTTTTTTTACAGCAAATGTATAAAGTGTTGAGATGTGCTGGTCTTTATACAGGGTCCATCCACAACACATAACAGCGTATTTATGATTATTCAACAGCATCACTCTAATATTACATGTTTTTTTTCTTGTCTGTAGGAGTGTTTACTGTTCCGCACAAGGGCCGATACTCGATTTCAGGCTTGCTGACTGCAAAGCAGGGCGAGTGGATAGATGCCTTGCTCTCCGTTTCAAACCGCAGCGTACACAGACTCAGGAGCTCAACCAGGGCCTCGGACAGTGCCTACTGCGCCTGCGGAGGAACCGTGTCCTTCAGTCTGATTCTACCACTGAGGAAAGGAGACCGTGTCAGTCTGGTGAGGATCGGAGGCCAGCTGGCCTCGACCAACTCCGGGGAGGTTCTTTCCACCTACAGTGCCATCTACTTGTACTCGCCGGCGGCCAGAAGTTAGCCAGAACGCAGCTGAGACGCTCGTCATCAGACGCCCAGACTGGACAGAATGATGAAACCTTATTTTACACTGACTTGCTGGGATGCTGCAGATTATTATGCTGCGTTGTTGTGGGAACACTCCCAGTAATATGTTCATTTAAGAAGCTGTTCCATTGCAAGCCACTAACAGAAAGACACCTGAGCTCAAGAGGCAGGGTTTGTATCTAATATATTGATTGTTACAATGAACTTTTGTATCTATAGTGAATTGTTGTTTACCAATAAAATGCATAAAAGCAGTTTCAGGGAACTTAATTGTACAACATTTCAAATGACAGATTGAAACAAAGTTGTGCATATTTGTGAAGTGGAAGGAAGATCGTACGTAAATTTCAATTTATCTGAAAGTGCTTACCAATCTGAAAATTGGTAAGCACGATTTTCTATAATTTCCCCCCTACATAAAATTAGTTGTCAGCTGTTTAATTTCAAGGATCAGGCAAAGGAAACAATCCGAGAAGCAGCAGAGAGGCCTGTGAAAACAATGGAGGAGCTGCACCAATCCACAGCTGAGGGAGGATGTGTTGACATGGCAACCATTAGCAGTGCTCTCCACAAATGTGGCTTTTGTTGAAGATGGGCAAAAGAAAAGCCATAAGAAATCCTGTTTAAACAGCAGCAGCAGCAAACGTGTGCTCTGTTCACATAAAACCAAAACTACATTTTTGCTCCATGTGTGCCAAAGTCATCCAGGACATCATTTTCAAACATGGCGCTGGCAACAACATCCTGTGGGGCTGCTTTTCTTGTGCAGGGACATAGATGTTGGTCTGAGCTGATGGGAAGATGGAGCTTCACCGTGTTGCAACAAAATCATCTCATTTTTTCAACAACAATCGAAAACCAGTGTTTTGTTACCTCCACTCTACAATTATTCTCTACTTGTGTTCTTAGAGAGATCCTGAGCATAAAGTGGGACAATGAGAAAAGTTAAGGAGTGAATACTTTTGGTGGGTATTCCAACACAATAAGAGCTTCCGTTTTTCCCCCTACTGTAGATGCCAAGAAACTGCAGATAAACAAATGTATTGTAAATAACATTAAGACGGAGAAGTTGCAACAGATTCTTTGAAAATGTCAAACTTGGCCACCTTCAGAAGTTGTTCTGAGAGAGACGAGGTTAGAAGGCAAAAATCCTCCCTGGGTATATTGCGTAAAGTGGGTGTGCATGAAAGTCTCTCTCCAACTCCCCCCGTCACTCCTGAGATTTGGAAAATGTTCCCAAGACAAGAACTTTCTAGACATCAGTTCAGTTTCTGTTAAGCCCTAAAAGTCTAATTCTGATTTGAATTCAAAACTGCTCTGCTTACCGTTTCTATAAATCTTTGATGTTCAGTAAGATTTGTGAAATATTTAACAACCTAAGGGAGTTGAGCTTATATATATATATATATATATATATTTTATGCATTTTAGAAATGGCATCAAGTATTGGTTCTAAAAGTCAAAGCTACTCCAGCAGCCTTTGGTTTTAAGTTTTACTGACTTAAAATGAGAAGCGATTCAGAGACAAATGGATTTAGTTAGATATTTAATACAAATAAGACCAACAAGCCACATATTGCTAATTTCGTCAGGCCTGTATTTTTCTTCTTCTTACCAGAGATTTGTTTCTTCAAACATACTTTAAACCACATCTCTATACAAATCAAACACAGCATACATATAAGGTGTTTATATTTGTCAGAAACAATCAAAGAGCAAGCGTTACATCCAAACAAAACAAATTATGATGTACGTTTGTAAGAAATGACATGAACAAAAAAAAAAAAAAAAAGGCATCGAGACAGAAAAACGTGATGATCAGCATATACACCGGATCCTTTTTCACAGCAGTGAGTGAGAGCATTTTATACTATATATCCTGGAATCATAGAGGATGAAGTGTGATTCTTTCACACAAGATGCTTTACTTTCATAGAAAGAATGAAATTCCTTTTGTTAATTCTAAGATAAACGTATCCAACTTCAAACTTTGTAGAGAAGACGCTAAGGAATCAAAAAACACACATCATATATCACAAAACATCAGAGCAACATTACTCGAACTAAGAGAAACTAGATGTAGCTATAGCTTTTACGTTGTGCTTCTTTTTTCTTTTTCTTTCCATCCACGTAATCTGGTTCCTTTTGTTCAGTTCTCTAAAGCACATCCTATGTTGTACTCGGGAGAAAGATATGATCCTGTCATTAAATCATGTTCTTTTAAATCACACATAAAGCCAAGGAAGAGCCAAGTCAAGTATTTCCTGTTTATGTCCAAACTAGAACTAATATCTCTTTCCTCTGCTCATCAAAGAAACTCCATCAGTTCTCATATTATCTGTCATACTAATAAACATGCACAATTACACACGCATAATGAAGCTACGGGGGAGGGGGCGGTCGGGATGACAGCCTTATGTCTGTTTTAAGATTTCATTCTCAGTTTTGACTTGCAAAACAAGAAAACCCTCCACTGTTAAAACACTTCTTCAAATCATTATATTTGAGATAAAACTGATAGATGTTAAAGACAAAAAGTAGAACTCTTCACTTTGTAATAATGGCATACTTTAGGTTACCTCCTATGAAAAGCATGTTGGTTAGATGCAAGTGTTTAAGTCTGCAGCTTAGACAAAGTGCATTGGACAAGTCTCGGAAAAAGCCACTGAGGGAGAATAAAGAAGGAGTGCAGGATACTTACTGCCACCCCACCAGCAGCACTCAGTGATTTAGGTAAGCACACATACACGCATGCATGCACACACACACACACACACACCAACATCCTATAATCTTTCATAGAAGAAGCTTTCAAACGGAAATCCCTAATTTTTAAGCTGCTTTCGGATCTGCCCCATCTTCGCTGTCGCAACTTGAGCGTCATCGCTTATATTTACATGTATTAATACTAAAGCTGTGGACTTTGAGGTTTGCTAGGAATCTTTATGTGCCTTGCATGTCGAGAGCTCCACCATTAAATAAAATAAACAGCTTGCTGTGGGAGACATGACTGAAGAGAGATCGGACACGAAGCTGAGCAGCTCTGGTTAAGCGCGCAAGAATTTGTGGCCAACCACACAAAATACAATTTTAAGTATTTTCTCATTACACTGGAGATAAATTACCTTTTTTTTTTTTTTTTCTCCTGACAAGCAATGGAATTACAACAGAAATCAATAACTTAATATATTAATTTTAAATAATTACTGTTGTTAACAGAACACATAAGGTCTGCAAAGCTTGTACAACAGAACAAACATTTTACAACAACCGCTGGACAATAAACCATGAAGCTGCTTCATTTTGCCGCAACTAAGTGCGGATCCATACATTCTTGGCATACACGGAGTTTTTACCTCGATTACAAACAATATCGAACATAACTCACTGCGCACGTAGTTCATGACCTTTAGAAGAAGCCAATAGAAATGTGCGACGTGAGTAAAGAGTGTCAGAAAAACTGAACTTCAAGCAGCGTTGCTACAGTAGGCTCCTGCAAACCAATGAGTTTGAGCATCACGGTTGGGGGAAATCTGACATCAGCCAGCTGTTACAATCCGTGTTCACTTTTCTCGTCAGGTCTCACCAAACTCCTCTCACACTGTATAATTAAGAAATGTGTAAAATGAAATTAAATTAGGAAACTGAGTGCCTTCTGAGTTACTAAAAGTATTCTGTTTGAAAAAATATTTATTTTAGATTGCTATCCCTGCACCACTCAACTACAGGCCGGTCGTCGAGCAGAGCGACCTGGCACCAGTAAGCGATTAGTCCGTTTTCCAGTGGTTGAAGTTTCAGCTGATGTTAATCTCCACTCGTGAAAAATAAATACAGTTTTCAAGTTATGTTTTAAGTTTCGTCTTAACCCTGTTTTCTCTGGTAGTCGTAGAGCTGTGTGTGCCTAAGTGCTATTGGATCCACTCCACGTTTGTTTACGCCTCGTCCCCGCACAGATGAATGGCTGGGTGAGAGTCTGTGCAGCGGTTAGAGCGGTTCGTCGAGGTTGATTTCTGGTAGCGGCTGTCTCCAATAACAGAAGGAGCTAAATTCGGGCATCACGAAGGCTTCGTTCTGCTCTTTACTCAGCAGAGGGAAAACGTGCTCCACCAGCTCACTAAGTCTGCCGTAGCTGTGGACGGAAAGAAGCGTGTTAGAGAATTTTAGTCCGTTTCATATTTACAGAAAAGCAGCTTACAAGAAGTGATGTACAACATTTATTCAACAGTAAAAGACTCCAAACATGCATTTAGGTAATGACTGACTCCTAGTATGTAGGTATAGCAAGGTTTTGAAAAGTTCTATTTTATTGTAAGAGATGTTTATATTCGATTCCAATATGGTGTTACTGGAATAAAGTCCCTGATGAAACTGCTGCAAAGCCTGTAATTTCCATCTCATACAGACAAGATGTTATTGAGCTTGTAGCAAAGTCAAACTAGAGTCAGAATGGATGTTTCATTCATTTTAAAGCCTTTATATGAGTAACTATAATTGTTGTTGAGGGCTGAATCATTTGCTGAGCTCAATTTTTCCAAAAGAATATATGTTTGTAAATGATACATTTGTATGATTCTGCTGGCAGTAGCTGACGGGTCATACTAAAAACAAAAACTTTACCATTTTTTATGTTTTAGAACTGTTAAAAAAATGAAAAACTGCTAAGTCATGTCTTCGACTGTATGTTCAGTCTGATGATATTAATTCACACTTTAATCCAACTACTCTACCTTTTACTTTAGGAGGTCATGGTTATATATTATGCAAGTCCTGTTAAAAACTCAATACTCTGTATCCGTCTTTCTGGTTTGATCTGATCCTGCCTTAAACTCAGTTTCTAATCTTGGAACCCAAACAGAGTAATGGCTTGAACTAAATCTCAGCTTCTGAAGTGCATTTGGATTTGTGTACAGCATCAACGCAGTATGACTGTTTCAGATTTTCTGCTGCCCCCCCCCCACCCTGCGCTCTGCCCTCAATGGATGGTCAGAGCACAGGTCGCTCTTAAATCAACTCGATTTGAATCCAGGTGGTTCTGTTTGGTTAACCTGAGAGCAACTGGAAAACTGAACTTTTGTTACTTTAAATAGGACCAGAAGAAGCACAATTGCTCACAGTTCACAGTAGTTTTTTTTTATTTCTAAGACAAAGAGTAAGAGTAGCCTAAATGTCAACAAAATAAGTGTTAACAGAAGCATCATTAGGCAGTTGGAGAATAACTGAGACAGTTACAACCATGAGCTACTTAAGGACAAAACAAAGCAAGTATAGAGCTTTGATTTTGAGTGTGAGGAAGTGAAGAAAAGTCCCTGAGAGACCGTGACTTGCAGTTTCAATTAGATCATTATTTTTCTTTATTTTATTTTTATTTACTCACGATGACTTGTTGCCCTTGGTCTGCTCCTGGATCAGCTCTCCTTTGGGGTTAACTGTGAAGATCCGACACAGCGGGACTCCAACCTCCTTATAGGCAAAAACATCCTGAATGGAGACGATGACAAGAGGCTTACTGCACATGCTGAAAATTAGAACTGAAACGAATCCAAATGAAGTGTTAAATGTCTTGGGTGTGCAGGTTCTGTAGACGGAAATACACATCAGGGTCTCTTCACCGCCTTTAAAAAAAAAAAAATTATAACCTCAATAAAGAACATCTATAAAAGCTTTGGAAAGCCACTCAAGAGAAACGTTGATAAACCTCATAATCATGCACACTGATAAGTCACTGACATTAATCACATATTTCCTGTTTTTGTTCCTCTAAGAGCATTCGATGGAAATATTTCAGCTGTTTAGAATAGATCAGCTTTTGTGTTTGTTTATTTAATTTGTTTTGGGGTTTTTTCCCCTTTGCTGAGCAACAAAGTTTCTATGGTTGCTTCATGGGGTGTTTGTGTTTATACAGCTGAAGACAGAAAAGGATGATACTCTGGCCAAGCTTCCCTCCCTTTCACATAAACTCAAACTTACCAAGTGACCTCAACTCTGGTTCAGCCCTGTACTGATTTCACTTGTTTGTGTCTGTTAACTGATAGCCAAAGAGTCATGTTGACATTGCAATACCCCCTTGAGTGCAAAAAAAAAAGCAGTTCATGTAAAAAAAAAAAAAAACAAGCACTTCAATATCTGGCAGTCTGAGATTTTCTAACACGCATTAACTCACATTAGCTCGATTCCCAAAGGCAGCGTAGAAAGGCTGCTTGTTATTCTGAAACAGGTTCTTGATGTCTGTAAGGCATTCGATCTTGAAGATCTCTGGTTTTTTCTCGATGACCTCCCTGAAAAAAAACAAACAAACAAAAAAAAGAAGTTTCATGAGTCCTCTGTTTATATTAAAGTCATATGGTTGTTTTATGTCAAACATACTTTTTAATAATCCATTCTATTAAATTTATAATTTCAATAGACAAATAAAACACAACCCAAAGATGCCAAGACTCTTTAATAAAATACTTTGATAAAAAAAAGGTCTGTATTTGAAGCAAATAAAATAAGACACTCATTTTGAAAAGGCAACATTTGAAAATTACCGACGTCCATCGATACAAGACTAAAAAGTACATTGCCATAGCAACTACAAAGTATAGTCTTCAAGGATGTAAAACATTCCCACGGCTCTGACGCACAATTCAAAGTACACCCAAGCAGTGTTTAATTAAAATATAAACACGGATCTACTACATCCTTTTGCAGCATTACTTTTTCAGATCATATCTGATAAACCAGTACATATTGTTGTATATTAAAAACAGAAGATATGCGAGGACAAAATTATGTACCAAAGCCAACAAACCACTGACAGCAAAGTCCACACAAAACTAGCAACTCTGACAGAAGGTGAAGGGTTAGACTGGTTCACCAGTCAACAAGATGTCATGAGTAAAAAGCACAAATGCTGCAAGCTATCCAATGATAAATGATTAGTTTAAACCCCGAATACATTTTGATCAGAAAATATGAATTTTTCTGTCTGAATCTATTAGCAAATAGAATGAAATTGTCATTTATACCCTCACTACAAAATATCAGCTAAGATTCTTAACATACATAAGCTCAAGAATTAAATAATTATAAATATGTCTCTATTTACCGAAGAAATAATCCAGGCTTCAAGAGAGAAAACAAAGGTTTGGTATTATGAGAATGGAATGTGCATGAGAACTTTCTGGAGGAAAGTGTTGGCCATCATCACACTTTATTGTACCTGTGGAATGCAGAGAAGAGGCTGCTGGGAGACAGCATGAGCGGTCCTCGCGGCAGGATGATGCCTCCATCGTTGACCCACTGCAGGTAGCCCCTCGTCATGTCGGCCATGCCGATAGCCCGAGCTGAGCAGTACAAGAATTTGTAGCCATTCCTGCGAATGAGAGAAAATGACTCCAAGCCTGCACAAACAACAACCACCACCACCATCATCATCATCATAACCCATAACTTCAGGAGAAAAGATCCAAGAATTTTATTGTTACTCAAGTGCAGATTTTACAGTAACTGTCCTAGTCACCGAGGTTTCTCCTGTGTGGCGGTGATTTTTCTAATCTTTACTTAAAGCAGCAAGTTTAGGACTACAAATTTAATTACTTCTTAGAAATCCAGTTAATGTTTCTTTTAGCGAGAATTAAGTCATGATTATAGTTGAGCACACTGAGTCATCCACTTCACAGCGTCCCACGCAAACACTGAGAGGAAATATCAGCTCCACAGAAAGCCAACTGGGAATCAAAGACGGGCACTCCTAACCGCTGACCAAACATTCATTCTGTCCCTGTAATTAATCCCGGTTGTTGTGCACTTACTCGGCCACGGAGTGGTACAGCTTGGCAATGCCCTGGTGGGTCCAGTCTTTCCCCAACTGTGGGAGAATCTGTCCAAACACATCTGATCTAAAAAACAAACGCACATTATTGACATTATGTTGAAGAGCCTCCAAGTGGGAGGCAGGCCGCTCAAAAGGCAAAAAAGGAAGAGATGTAAAGTCACAGCTTAAATATGCAAAAAGAAAAATATATAGGATTCTTAGTACAGACTGTTCAGAGAAGGTTAAATAAGCCACACCCCACTACATTAACATTTCATGGTGAATATAAAACTTTATGGGATTTCCTTTGCTAATGAGAATTACTGGCCCCATAGGGAAGACACAGAGTCACCCTCAGCTTATGGCTGTGTGCACTGACAGAACGAGATGTAAATGGGCTCATTATAGATCCTGTACTTTTCAACCTGTTCTTGAAAGAGCACCACGTCACATGCTGGCCTTGGGGTTTGCTGAGATAATAAGCTCCAGTCGATCTGGACTTGTTTGATGTCAAACGTCAGAGAACAGGCATGAAATAAGCTGCAGACATCAGTTTTGGTTCAAAAGAGGAACTACCGGTGAGATAATTTTCTAAAACAGAAAAAAAGCACAACATTCTGGATAGTTTTAAATAAGAAGTTCTTTAAAAAATTTTAAAAATTAAAAACATGTATTATCTGCAGAGATTTATAATGTAATCAACAATACTATTGCAGTCTTGACCAACATATTTGAGGTGTAGAATTTTGGTGATGGTACTCATCAAAATGTAATGTTTGTTCAGTTGTTGGCTGTATGGCATTTTCTTTCAAATTTAGCGCTTTTATTATTTAAAGCACCGTGAACCGCCTTGCTGCTGAAATGTGCTACACAGATAAACTTGATTGGTTGATTGAAATGGGACTCGCAGCACAATAAATTTTATTCTGCTCATGTGGAGATTTTTTTCCCCATCAGACTTGTAGTAAAATATCAACGAAATGAACAAGTGACAATAAATGTGAACACTGCAGCAAACCTTCCACACAAGTTGCAAATATTTATATATAGCGTTATTGTCTGCCCTGCAGTCTAATCTGATCATCTAAGCTGAAAGCCATAAATACCAACAACTGAAAGTTATATCGTTGACAATAAAGCGTGCTGAGCTACAGATGGTGCCTTGCTAAAGAAAAAAAAAAAAAAATGTTTCCCCTTCTGCATAATGAATGTTTACGGAGCAAGATCCAAGACTGACAATCTGGGCCTTCACTGATTTTAAAATAGATCACCATTTTGCAGCAAAAGTCAAAGAGGCTCCAGCATAACAAAAGGATGAATAGCAGTTTCTAAAAATATGCAGTGTGGTAAGCCAGTATATTTGCATGCATTTATAAAAAAGAAACCCAATAAAGTGTTCCAAAAATAATCCCCCAACTTCCCATATGCGCTGCACTAAATGAAAAGAAAAAAAAAATGCAAGACAGACTCTTTTTCAAAGTTTTGGACTTTTATTTCCTACTGAGCCTCTAAATTTTCTTTTGAGACACCTACTTGGTGATGGTACCATCAATGTCAGAGATGATGACTTTGTCATCCCAGTTCCACAGGTAGATGGTCCCCTCACAACGGCATGTGCCTTGGTACTGAGTGGTAATGCTAAATGTCACGTCATTTGGTCCCTCCTTTAGTTTCAAACTAGCCTAGGGGGAAAAAAAAAATAAAAAAATAGAATGAAAAATGTCAGGCCATCTGGAGGAAGAATCTATTTCATTCACAAGAAGAAAACCCAAACATAGGCAATGGTCTGCTGAACAAATTGTTTTGTCATAATGCAAAAATCTGCAAAGGTCTTTAGAGCCCCCTACTGGCACCAAGCCCAACAAAAAAAAAAAAAACAAAAAAAAAAATTATATATATATATATATATATATATATATATATATAGCCTGCAGGGAGAGCTCTAAAACACAGAATAGATGCTTAGACAGTGCAAGGGTTAGATATTTGCGCCATCAAAGCACTACATTTGCTAAAATGAAAAAAAAAACAAAAACAAAAAAAAAAACTATAATGAGACAAAAGAACAACTATTCTATTTTAGAAAGCACTTACTATCTGATCTGAGGAAAGACGTAGTGACTTCCTGTAAGTGTGGGGGGTGGAATGATGTCCTTCTGCTGGCTGCAGCCTCTCTTGGCAGGACGCAGCACTGACCTCCTTGGATTCCTCATCACTCGAGGTGTCTCCTGCTTTCGACCTACAGGACAGTTATGTTAATTATTTACCCCATAAAATACAGTGATAAAACTTATAGACATTAAATAAAGTCACTTTATAGTTACAGGCTGCAGGTCCATCTCAAAGCAAAATATCATAGATGGATTAACTTATTTCCATAAGTCAATACAAAAAGTGAATTATTAAAAGATGAGATGAGAATTTTGATTTTGGATTATTGCTGATGATCCTAAATTTTGTTTCTATAAAATCAGAATACCAATAGAAAACAGATGCAACCTGTTGAGGAAGACAACTAATTTGAGTCGTCCAGCAGACTGTCAAGAGGGGAAACCATAAAAAGGTCAATGATAAAGAACCTTGACGTTCAGTATTGTATTCAAGAATGTTAATGTAAAGTTAAATGTGGAAAAAAATGTATCCCCTCTGTATTTCATCTTACAGTGTTGCAAACTACATTAATTCTCAATGTTGATATTTAAATTTGCCTTTTTGGGAATCCATAAAATTCTTAACACACGTTACAACAGTATTCCTCCGAAGTGCATGTGTGTGCAGCGAGTCCCTTCAATATGTATGTGCATCTGTACATTAGTGTGTCGAGTCACTCAAAAGCAAGCCTGGTTATAAAAGAGGTCTGGATACTCTAAGTTTTGTTATGCACTGCAGTAGCAGAGTGACACAGGAGAAGAAGCAGAGATCTGTTGGCAGGGATCATAATGAGCCAGAAAAAAAAAAAAAAAAAAAAAATTCCTGGGGGCCTTTTTCCCCCAAGCTGTTGAACGCGCTCTGAAGTTAGACAGGTGTTCTATCGATTACATTTTTGGCCCAGATTTGACTGACACGCTACCTCCATGTGTTACTGTGCTAACTTAACGCTAAACCCAAAATGAATAAATAAAGATAACTAGATCAATTATTCAAAGACGAAATCCATAAGCTATCCCAAAGAAAGACTCCTTTAATGGCAGCTCTAGTATAAAACTGCATATAAAGAATCTGATACATCAGTTTTTGAATTGAATAACTGAAATGACTTTTTATAATTCTAATTTAATGAGATGCACCTGAATTCACAAATGTCTTTATTCCAATTCCTTGCCAAGACCAGATTTAGTTTGATGTTCAATATTTCCACATTTTTAAACATGAATGCATAGTACATACGGCAAAGCCAATTTCTCGTGAGAAATAGAGGGTTCTCCTTCCTCTAGCTGACACTCCTCCTTGGTTTCAAGCTTTGTTTCAGACTAAAGAAAAAAAAAAAAGAAAAGAGAAGGTATTGGGAGCAATTAATGTAGCTTAGAATCTAGATTTGGGAAAAAAATATTGTTAATAAAATGTGGGCAAAGTGTTTTCTTGTATTACTTATGAGAGCATATATCTACCTGTTTGACTGAACTGTCTGCTCTTTTTCGCCAGAACCACCAGCGACCTGATTTCTTTGGCATTTTCTCCTTCATCCAAGCCTCCTCTGTAGCCTATAAACAAAAACAAAAAAATATTTACTACTAAGTTAATCATTATTTGAATTTAGCAAATAATTAAGATACAAAATAAATTTAACAACAAAAAAAAATACCTTTGGTAAATTCTTCTGAAATGCCTGTAGACTTAGAATCAAGGGTGCAGCTAGTGTCCAGTTATAATACCTAAAATCAAACAAACAAAAACTAAATCAGACACATGAACTCCTACAAAACAAAGCTTTCGAATTAGATAGAATAAAACAAAAAGCTTACCAACCTATTTCCTATCTTTACAACTAAGTTAGGGTTGTCTATGATTGCTGGATTTTCAGCAAACTCATGATATGTGATGATATGTTCCATAAATTTTTCTGCAAACACAGATGGAATTCAAAATTAATTACAGGTAAAGTGCAACATGTAACCAGTATCTAGCACATTTTAGTTTCTGTACCTGAAAGTGCTTTAACAAACATGCATCTAAACTGATAATAAACAAATCTGTTTGCGTATAAAAGAGCTGATATGAATGTTTTATTATCTGAAAACAGCAGGCAAACTTTATTGCTGACCTTTGGATATTTCAGCATTTTCTGTGAGACCTCCGCACAGAGAAAGAGTGACATCAGGGAGGTCACTGGCCGAGTCAGAAAGACATTCTGTCCCGCTGTCAGCAGCTGCACTACCCACGGACTGTGGAGACTGGGAACCAGAACGCATCTCTGAGTCGATCCAGTGCTTTGCTGTTGCCTCAGACTCACTGACGGAAGAAAGAACGAATGGACCAGAAAGGCAGACAAAAAGTTAAGGATGTTCAAAGTCGTAGGTTGAAATGTATATTATTTCCAGTGTTAAAATATAGCGCATGTTTAATAAATAAGAAGTGAGCGTATCAAGTGTTTCTTGCGTGAACAAACCTCTTGGGAAAATATCTTGCAGCCACATCGGGTTCAAGGACATTTAGGTCATCTAGGTAGATGTCCTCTGGACCCTGATGCTGACTCCTCTTTGGGACTCCTGCATACAACGCATAAAATCACTTGCTACTTTAGAATGACCTTATATCAAATTACAACCATAAACAAATTTATTTATTTATTTACTTTTTTAGATTTTGTGTGATTAAAACAACAAAAGTAGTGAATATCTGTGCCGTTCTATTCAGCTACCCTGAGGCAATGCTTTGCAGAACCTGTTGCAATTGAGTTTTGAATAGTATTTGATTTCTGCCTATGGATCTCTATGGGTTGGCGACATAAGTGAGCCAGTAGCAAAGATGAACAACGTGCAATCTACAGAACAGTAACATTTACAATGAGGTTGAAAAGACAGGGACTGCCTACCAATTAGGAGCCATTTTTTAAATTGTATTTACCAGCAGGAATCATTCATCTTCTACTGCATAGTTATGCACTGCTTTTGTTTTGGTCGAATATAACCAATTCTGTTAAAATACACAGAAGTTTGTAGTTGTAATGTGACAATATGTCAAAGTTCAAGGGCTTTGTGAGGCTCTGCTTATTTATGTTTTTATTCACTGCAAACCAGAATGTGTGACACCCGGCGTACCTTTCTTCTTGGAGGGTGAATCGGTATGTTGGCTGTTTGAAGGGGTGGAGGTGGTCACATTGGATGGAAGGACATCAGGAGGTTCTGTTGGGGTTAAAGGACTCTCAGACGTCACGGTGCTGATGCTCGTTAGGCTGCCGGGTGTTACAGTGGTGACAGGGGTACGTGGCTCAGGCTTGACTATGGTACACACTGAGGGGCCTCCATCTTCCTTTTCAGTCTCCGTTTCATTCGCCATAGCCTCTGAGCTGAGGATGACGCGGAAGTGGGTGCTTTCTGATGGGGTGATGGTCACCGTCTTTATTGGTTCAGGTTTTTCTTTGCGTGTGACCTAAATATTAAAAACGGCAGATGTCACTTCAGAAAACATGGCAAATTGGCACCTGCTGTGACTTTTACAGGAAAGAAGTGCTTACCCTAGTTGTTTCTGGAAACTCCCCCCAGGTCCACTGCATATGGGACTCAGCCCTCAACAAACTCTCTGAAGACTTCATCACCAGTTCAGAGTCGCTCTTTGGGGAAAAGGCCTGGGACAAGCTATGGCTGAAAAGGCAGGAAGTGAAACACAAACAATGAGCAAAACGTTTTATGCATCTATGATCAACTCGAGATGCAAAGCTTAGCTTTACACGTACCCATCGCCTGATGGCCATTCACTGTCGGACAGCGGGTAACCTTCCAGGTTATGTCTGACTGTAGGCAGTTTGGGGTCTATGTCACGGATTGTTGAAGTTGAAGGTGACCTACATCCAGAATGCAAAATATATATAAATATATATGTTGTTAAAAACCTTTCCCAGCAGTCCTTGAACCCAAAACTACCTCGATACATGTGGTGCGGATTCTTCATCAGAGCTGAGATCCATCTCAAAAATCTCTTCATTTTGTCCAGTGCCCGACACAGCAGCAGTTGTAGCAGCGACAGAATTACCAGAAGACACCGGTGGGGTCAGCTCTTCTCTGCGAGGGTCTCCTTTGTGCTTCTTTCTTCGTCTTTTTTTCTTTTTTGTGGCAGTGGCACTGGGAGCAGGGGGCTCAGGTGGGTCTTCTTGGTCAAGAGGATCATCATCATTTGGATCTTTAGGTGCCCGGTTTTCGACCGCCGACATCCAGAACAGGTGACTCTCTGTGGGTATTGGGGATGTGGCCAAGTGGGCAGGAATAATCTGCTGAAGTGGACATTTGTCAATATGCGGCTGAAAGCTTATGCAACAGTAGAACAGTAGAGACCAATGCAACACAAGGAGCTGTCATGATAGGAGAAACATTTGCAACTGTCAAATGTGTCAACTGAACAAAGTGGGTGGATTTCTCAATACAGACCTTGCCGTTTTCTTTACAAACACATCAGAAAGTGGTTTGTTGAAAAGGGCATAATAAACTGCTTTCTCAAATGCATTATTTGAAACTTGAACTAACTTTTTTTTTCTTTCAGTCATAAACAGTTTAATTTTATTTCCAAATTAATGATGTGTGTATTTGTTACGCTTACATTTTCTTCTTCGGCTTCCTGGACAAAAAATGCCTCTCCGTTGTCACCAAGTTTCATATGCAGGTCCACAGGATCACCATTCACTTCAATATCAATCTGAAAACATGAAAGAAAATTCAGGCTGATATTTGTAACAACATCAAACAACAACATGAAAACTAAGAAAGTAATCAGTTACATTGGCAGTGGGTTTTATAAGAAGATTTTGGCAAACAGTGGTTTAAGATGGCCAGTTTGAGGCCATTTGAAAGAATTTCCACTTTAGTATAAAACTCAAAAGACTGATCTTTGTTGAGCTCAGTGAACACACCAGACCGAGTGCAAAAAGATACTTAAAGGCAAGATATTTTCTCCACTGCATGTCAAGACTTGTCTGTGGTTCATTCAGGGGGCAAGTCATTGAGTGACAGATGTTAACAGGAAGTTTTAACATTGTGTAGGTAAGTTGCTCCATTTTGCTCTTTCAAGCTTTCTACCTGAAGGTCTGATTGGTCCAAAAGCTATATGTATTTATATAGATATACATATAACTTTTTAAATATGATTTTTGTTCTTGTTTGAATATGAATATTAATAGTTTGGAGTGCTATTTTACACAAGGAGCAGTTCAATATGTATGCAATCGGAGACATTACAGTGCTTCAGAAATGCATTTATGCCTGAAGGCAACAAAAAGAAGGGGTGTAAAATGGGAGACGATAAAAAAAAGCAGTTAGATGCCAACAGTACAAGTTGCAAATATGTCTTTTTTCTCTGACACAGTCTACATTTTGTCTGCCAAGAAAGCAATGGTTTAATCAGCTATGCAATCTAAAAATCAGAAAGATGGCACTTAAAGTAAAAAATACATAAGCTATTTAGGAAAGCTCATGTTTCACCTCAGGGATTATAAATCCTAATAAGCATTCAAGTCCCCAGGGCTTTTATTTTGTGGAGCAGCCAATAAAACGAGGCTTTTTGAGTTTGCTGGGGAAACCCCGGTGGAATGGGGCCCATTCTGTAATTTAACACCACAATAACAAAAAATTAAAAAAAAAGTAGTAACATCTGGAAGACACTACAGACCAGGCTGGCTATGGCACACAAGTGCTCTGCAACATGACACCAGATCATCAATATTGGGTTGAAAACCACAGCCACCAGAATGTTCTTTGTCCTCCCTTTAATAGATTGCTGCTTGGATTTTTCCATGTTGTGCTAAACTTTTCAGCAGATGCTGGATTCTCTACCGGTTAGAGATGAAATTTCACCTGGTGAAGGAAACTATAGCAACTAATCTGAGTGTGGCTTTGAATTTCAGGCTCTAATTAATAATGAGACAGAATAAATGAGGCTTCTGCTTATCCACTTACAGTCAGTGAGAGGTTAGACTCACTTCAAGTGGTTATATTCACTCCAACAGCTCATTGCCAATATCATCCTTGAGCTACTTTTCAGCACAGGTAATGGGTACCTGCTGATGCTATTGATTAGTGTATTACATGAACTTGCACTAGTTTCACTAAATTAATTTACTTTAATTGTTCAAAGCACAAATTAGAGAAAGATATTAGCTTCCATGGTAAAACTGTGTTCAATTAATATTAATATTTTCAAATGGAAGGAATACTTTGTGGTTGCCCTCCAAAGTGACTAATTAATGTTGAAAAATGTCTGCATATAAAAGACAAATATATTTCATGAAATAACTTCCCAAAAGGCTATAAATACACAAAGCAGCAGTCCTCACTGATTTGAAAACTGTGCCTAGGAACAGGTATAAATGTTCGTTACACAACAGCCCTTCTGTGAGCCACTGAGGACCTTTTCTTCCCTCCCCCATGCATTCAAGTTGTAGAGCAGTTGCCATAGAAACAACTCATTCATTCCTTTCCAGGCCCATCAGCATTCTAGCTAGGTGGGTAGACAGACTCGGGTTAAAACAAATTTTTTCTTGTATACCAAGTAAAACGGATTTTTCAGAGACTCTCTAAGCAAGCGCTCCAACTCAAATTATATTTTATAGGTATGGGCACGGATATAAAAATATTTCGTTCATTCATTTGAGTAAACCAATGTCAATTTTTACTCCATCCACATTGATATATCCATTTTCTAAACAAAAAAACATGAGAAGTACAATTTCATGGTCATGACAAATTAGTTTTTATCTGTATGCTTTTTCTAAGATTTGGTTCATTTCTCTGCTCAGATTCAAAAGACAATGTACTAATGGCAAGTAAACTGAAGATAGGCTGCGCTTTCCAAGTTATACAAACAACAGCTCACACATTCTTACAACTTGCAGTTAAACATGCAACAGCAGAAGAAACTGAAATCGAACGCACAACTCTCCTATTGCAGGACAAGTACTCTTCTTGTTAGTATCAATACCGACAAATTTTGAGCCTTTGTAATTAGCATTCTCTTAGAGATCTTTTTTTTTTGCGTGGAAGTACTCTACCAGTCAAAAGGTTTGAAGAGCTGACATTTTAATTNATTAGACTATTTCACATACTTCACCAAGGGGGTCCAGGGTTGCCACCCTGCAAAGACCTCCAACAGATGGATCCGACAAAGGAGCGACTAAACATGGAGGTATACATCCTGGTACGAGGAGGGGGGTGATTACTGGATGAGGAACAGGTGGGTTATTAACAAATGCCTGTAGGTGTGTGGTGGGGGCAGAAAACAAGAAGAAACTCAGAAAACTAGTGAGAGAGTCGATCATTCATTCCTTAATAAAAACTAAATCTCCTTGTTTCCAATTTTAAAGAGTGGCTTGGAAAAGTTTTAGGTCACACAGAAAGAGAGAAAAACATGGTGCATCTTTTTGTCCAATGTATGTAAATATCTGGTTTGTATATTTAGTCGGTCTCAAGAGTCATACATGTTAGAAAATATGTGGGAACATGATTAGGTGGATTATTGTTCGGTAAAGAGAGTTGTTAAAGTCTGTTCCCCATTCATTAGTGTGTGGCCAAACTATTTAGAGTTAGTGTGTGGAGGCAGCATGAACTTGGCCTCCAGTGTGTGTGTGTGTGTGTGCGTGTGTGTGTGTGTGTGTGTGTCTCCATTAGGCATGTGTTATGCTGTTAACAACACACCTTGCTGGCTCGACAAAACGAGGCTGTTAAACCGTGTTTGTGTAGACAGACGGGCCTTTGTTAGTGAACAAATTCAATTCAGATTCAATTTAAAAAGAATAAAAAAATACTTTACAAATCCCAAAGGGAAATTAAATTCAATCAAAGATAGTAAAAGAGAGATGGGTAACATGTGAAACGGGCTTACACTTTTTATTCTCGATAATCCTCCAGTTTGGTGTCAATTCGCGAGTCATACCCAAATCGGACCGTGTGTCGTCCTGATGTACTAGGAACCGGGGCATCAGGAGGAGTTTCTCCAAACATAACCTCGTGTTTCCCCCAGCTGTTTTCTCAGAAGTGGAAATTTTAGCAACTTCTAACTCAGCACTTCACAATGGGATACACTTTATTGCCGCCAGCGCACAGGCATGTGCACACCCAGCACCCCCTTCCTGCCATGACTGGCAACTTTGTGGTTTCTCACAGCTTGATTCTGGAATCATTAAAAGAGGAGGTTAGAAAAAAACAAAACAAAAAACCTGGGAACCTGTGACCAGCTTCAACCAATCTGTCTTTTGAAAGGATAGGGAGCGAGGATGACTAATAAGCCGTTCTTAAAAGGTCAGGTGGAAGATAACCGAGGTAAAGATTTAATTTTGCCTCCCTAAAGCATTCATACCACGTGAGCTTTTTCAGACAGTTTGGGACAAAGCTGGGTTAGGACATAAAATGCCATCTTTGAACGTCTCGTAAAGTTCGTCATCTGAAAAAGAAAATAATGTCACGACTGCAAACCTGCCAAAACGTGGCCTTTTCCCTAAACACACAAAACGGTCTAGAAAAACGTCCATCAGAAAAACAGCCAGGAGGAGTTAATATCAAATATTAGCTATGCACACAGTGTCGTGACAGAGGAAAGAAGGCAATAAAGCATCCAATTTGCAGTTTGTCACACAATCCATGTAGGAGACTGAGTTTTGGTCAAATGAGACCAACACCGGGTTTGAGTTTGAGCAGCTTAAATCGAAATAGAAACTTTCACTTTTCAGATTTTTTTTCGTTCGGGGAAAAACAATCTGAAAACCATGTATCGCTTCCCTATTCCTTCAGAATAATGCACCGCAGTCTATTGGCCAATCACATAAAACCCCAATAAAAAAATTCTTCGAAGTTTGTGGCTTTAATGTGACAAAATGTGGAAAAGTTAAAGGGCACATTGCGAAAAGCACCTTCGGTATCTCCTAAAACAACACCCACCCTGGACGATGCCGCATCCAATGACCTACTTCCAAAGCAAACACATCTGGCTGGCTCCACCGGACCGGAGTTACCAAGTCATCACGCTCCAGTGCCGTATGTTTGCTTTCTTACTTTCTTTTTATTATTTTGTTTTGTTCTGCTTTCGCTGAACCTCGGATTTTCTTAACCTCAAGAGCGTAGATGCTATGCATAGATTTTACACAATGAAAAGGTTCAACAGTGCTCCCGGGTTTTGTTGAATTTTTCCGTCGGCGCTGTAGAGGTCGTAGGGTTTTTGTGTAGATGAAAAAGAAAAAGTGTGTCACATTTTTACTGTACTGTACCTTACTTTTTGAGGTACGAAACATTAAAGAACATTTTGAATGTATGCTACGACGATTCAAACTGGATCACATGCACTGTTTTGAGAAACTCTTGGTAACCTTTGGACTTTGACCCATTTTGCCAAATGAAAACCACAAACTTGAATGTATTTTTGCTAGGATTTTACGTGGCAGACCAAGACGAAACAGTGCATTTTGTCTCTGAAAATAAATCTTAAATGTGTGGTGTGCAGTTGTATTCAAGCAAGTCTGCTTTGCAAGCTAATTTTCAAGTGTCTTTGAAAGTGTGTTGATGTTCAAATTAGCCTGAGGTCAAAGTAGCTTGACCTCAGTCAAGCTACTTTGACCGAGTAGCTTGACTTAAGTGTCTTAATATTAAAAGTGTCTTTGAACGTTAATTTTCAACTCTTTCCAATAGATCCTCAGTTTTATTGTGGAGTGAATTTTAACTGGGCCATTCCAACACACAAATTTTCTTCCTGCTAAACCATTCCACTATTGAAGGAAAGCGTTTCAGCAGCTTTCCCTCAGTAAATGTAGATGGTGTGTTCAGGGTGATGTGCATTTT